CTTTGTTTAGTGTTACCTTCAGTATTTTTAAGAATATAATATAATCTACTGCTATCTTTGTTGGAGGCCCGTAGATGCAAAGTAATATAATTTTTAGCGTAGGAAGATGTACTACAAATATTTCAAAAACATTTTCAACGGAATACACATTTAATTCCGTCAAAGAGATAGAATAAAAATTATTTCCAACGTAAATGCAAGAACCCCATATGCAGAACCTTTATGCGATTCCTTTTCTCTACTATAATAGCCTGCGAGGTAAAAATTTAGAATTTGGAAAAAACTAAGTTAATTACAAAATAGCCAGTGTTTTGTAAAGCAGAGAACATCCATTTGCTTTGAATCGCTCTGTAGAGCTGCTCCGATAAACTCAGTTTTATTTGAAAGGGATTGAACATTATGGTGCAGTGTGTGTATGTTTTGCTAGTACATACGCGGATGTTTTTCTACTACATCTGACTGTAGTTGCCATATATTTAATCCATTTTTACCTCGAGTGCGTGGTCGGAGGTTGTATTGTGTCCCAGCAGTGACCGGTTGTGAGAAGATTGTGCCATCAGGTGTAGGTGAATTGGCAGTGGAAATGGGAGAGACGGGAGTAGGGCCAGAGGAGGAGGTAAGAGGGTTTGAAATAAGGGTAGGGTGGAGAACGAACAGAAGGTGAAAGGGATGGATTTTTTGTAGGAGTCTGCGTAGGACTGGAGTTGATGATGTAGTGCAAGCTTGTTGCCGATTGCATGTTTCCAGCAATGTTCATAGTGTTTTTTATGTATCCTGCAAGGCTCAAGGTTTTTTTATGTATCCTGTAGACATCGGTAATATGTCCACAATAAATGCGGTACTTTTTTTAGCCGCAGATCCTCAAGTGTTTTTCAGTACTTAGGAGTATATTAAGCGTTAAGGAAAAGTAGATATAAGGGAGCATTCAAAACTAAAGGTCTTTTTGAAACGGAAATCTGCCCACAGTGAACCAAAAAATCTAATATATTAAGAAGGTACATTATTTATGGGCTTTTGACATGGACTTCTAATAAAACGTATTTGATAATGAAGGTAAGAACATATTTTTTCACCCATATTTTTTCTAAAATATTTTTTATCGTAATAACATTTTTCTTACCTCTAGGTTGTATTGCTTCTTGTCATTGCAGGAGCTTGTAGCCAAGAGGAATTACAAAGTTTATCTTGGTCTTACTCAAAGTCTTAAACCCATTGATGATAAAGGTACAGTTATTATTGTATCACAGTCAAATACGAATAACAAGGAGAAGAGCGTTTTGTCTGACAGCAGATGGATGTGATGTCAACCCTTTGGAACTTTATAAATAGATTATTTGTTTACACCTACCGAGTATTGAAAGTAATTAATTGTTTAGTTTTATACAACGAATTAGCACTCAACCTGTCGAAGTACATACGTTTTGGAAAATTACTACCTTTACAGCTTCTTTCCTCAAGCTTCCATAATCTGGAGGGGGGGAAACAGGTCATTGCTTCAGGGGCAGGCCTGCAACTTGGTTAGCAGATGCAGAATTTTCCTTGTTAATCCTTAAAAGACATGACTGTTGGAAAAGATCGACTGTGGACGACGACTATTTGGAAAATTGTTCATATAATAAAAAGAAAATAAGTCGCGTGATTTTAAATAACGGTCCACCATGTGTCTCGACATAATCTAGCTCTGGTGGGGGCATGCTTTTCCCCTTTAGTGGGAATATCTGGCTCAGAGGCAGACAATACTAAACGCATCAATGTCTCACCCTTTAAACAGGAAATTCAGATACGTTATTTTCGCAACACGTTCTTATTAAAAAAGCTTGATTTAAAAGTTTTGTTGTGAATTTTACTAAAGGGTATAGCAGAATTAGGCGGTGAAAAATGCCCCTAAACCAAATCGATAATCGCGATGGGCATGTAAAAAAGAATACAAAATGTAGATTCGCAAAAAGTCAGCCCCCTAGGGCTATTTGTTGCAGAGATACAACGAGAAACGTATTTTTCGTATTTTTTCTCAGCTTCTATTGCATTATCAGGCTGAAAAAATTACAGAGCTGGGGAAGAACAGTTGCGTTTGGAGGTATTTTTTTCAACCAATTTTGACTATAAATTCAAATAGAAAAAAAATTTTGAAATTGATTTTCAAGATGATAACATTAGAGTAATGTCTTAGTTTTTCTGCCTAGAATGTCTTATAACATTCTATAACACATAAATATTAAAAAAAATAATTTTTTTAGACAATGTAGACGGTAGTGAAATACATTTAAAACAAAGTTTATGAATTTTGAAATTCGCGCAAAAATGTGATTAAAACAATCGTTTTTCCCAATATTTAAACACATATTCATTCACGACATATGAACTCGAAATCTTATAGGTGTTTCATCGATTATGTATCAAAAGTCAATCGGAATAGCCATTGTGGAAATTGATGGGTGGGCCCTTGCGTATCTGACTTCAGCCAATGAGCTTCAGGCACCAGTTTCTCATAATATTAGCGGGAATATTAAATGTCAAAATTATCACTTCTAGTCATTGAAACAGAAACAGAAGAGCGCTTTTTTAATTATTACATATTTTTTTAATTACACCATCGTGTTCTTTTTAGGTGGCCACCGTTGAAAATTGTCACTTAATGCCACTTTCAAAATGTTTCTCACAAACTTCTTGCTCTCCATGCAACGTGGCCAACGTCTAGTCTCGGTTTTCAGCCGAAGTGCCCGTGTTGTGGTCACGTTGGGCTCTGCGCAGAGTAAGCAAAAATCGGTGCACCGATGGATCCCACCCTTCTCTTTTCACCATGGAAATATCGGGAATGAAACGATATTATTGTGAACGTGCGAACGGCAGTCGAACTCTGGGATGCTACTCCCACATAGCTGCGATCATTTATTATTTGGCACATGCTCGTTACTTGGCGAAAATTGTATAACTGATAGAAATTGTGTGTAGACAGTTTATAAACGAACGAGAGATCCCAGTTATTGAAGAAGACAGTGACAATAATTATCTACGATTGTTTGACAATGATTAATAAATCTACAACTGAGTAAAATAATTTAATTATAAACGTAAATGATTCATATATTTAAAACCGAATAATTTGATTTACATAGGAAACAATACATAAATGTAAAAACAAATGGATTTTCATGATTTTATTTCAATAATTTAAATTCTTTCTACATAAAAACAAATGTTTATCAGTAAATTAAATCATGCTGGTAAGTGAGACATTTCAATAATTTAAATGTAAATTGTTTAAACATCGGTGAATAAATATTTTTTCAATCATATTTTGGCGCGAATTTCAAATTTTTAAATCGATAAAATTATTATTAATTGATTTTCACTATCGTCCACATTGTTAAAAAATCTTTGTTTTTCATTGTATCTCTGCAACAGATTGTCCTAGAAGACTGATATTTTTGCGAATCTACGACATTTTGTATTCTCTTTCATATGACATCGCGAATATCAATTTGGTTTGGGGCACATTTCACTGCCTTATCTGGCTATACCCTTTAACAAAAAATAATGAAAAGTATTAGAATGAAGTTTTTTTTGCCTTTTGACATAATATTTGTCAGACTATCTACAGGTAACCAAAGTGAATATGTTTTAAGTAATTAATATGAAAATCCATAAAACTCTTTGTAGAAAATTATTTCAAAAGTATGTAAGCAATTGAATAAAAAAATCTGTTTGAAAAGCAAATTTTAAATCAAGCATCTACTGAAACATCTGCACATGGGGCATTGCTAGTTTAAAAAAATAAATTTACTTACATGAAAAGGCTGCACGCCTCAAAGGTTATAACTTGTAAGCGTACTGAACCACTTGAGGAGGGTGAAGCGACTTGGCGTCTTCTAGCCCTACCATCATCCTTTATCATCACCCAATAATAATAATAATAATAATAATAATAATAATAATAATAATAATAATAATAATAATAATAATAATAATAACGTAAATAATTGTGTTCGTTACTAGATCACAACAAAACGAGTTTTTCTGTCGAAAAATCGCTGATTATAATACTTTTAATTTACTACGTTCGTAGTAGGGCGAGGAAGTAAAACGTAGTCATTATGCTTTCTTAACAAGGCTACAGGAATCAAGATGAAAATAATTTTTCACAATCAATTTATTTTCCTTCGGGCTGATTTAGCGGCCTTTTTGTGGCACTATTATTCAAATGGCACATACTACATTATACGTAGCCTGGAGACAGTCAGAATCGTTCTGCGCGTATTGTAGTGATTTATGCTAGAGAGATGCAAATTACATTATTGTGTCAAATTCTACATATTGTTGAAAATTGATGAAAATATTACTTGGTTACGTGTTTGGTGTATGGTAGCCCAAAAATTATTTACCTGTGGGTTGACAAGCACATGACGGATTTGCTTATCCAATGTGGAATAAGGTGTTTTATTGTTCTTCATTATTGACATATTCGAACAAAAAATTAAACGACTCAACCACAATAAAACTCACTGTCTGAGATAAGAATAATATGTAAATTGGTAGAATGATTGAACGAATTTGGTGAGGCCTCAGATTCAGATTTGCATAAATGCCCGACTCAAGAATATATTTTATAAGTAAACTTAATCGAGCAAAATGGTTTGTAACTTGGCATAATAGCTATAAAGAGCGCTAAACCTGCTTGCGATGATATTCCGAGCACAAAATGGATTTGTTCTTACTGATTCGACTACGAAACAAGACTGCAAACCTCTAAGATTTTTTTAAATCGAATAGAGGTTACTAACAGACGAATAGGTATTTTTAGACTCGTATGGTGGTTTGGTATTATGGAGTATGTGGTCGTATATGCTTTTTAGTCCCTACAAATGTAGTTCCTGAAATATTGTGAAATCATGGAGTTTTGTAATTAATTCGGAGTGTGTACGTCAAAAGAGTTAAATAGGTAAAAATTCCACTTCTAAATGGAAAATAGACCCTTCTCAACATTAGTAACATAACACAACATGAAAATTGTGACAACCACCGCCAGCACTCCACCTCCTCGAAGTACTGTAGCAGCTTTGCAGCTGTTGACTGTTAGTGAAACGATCGAAGATCAGCGGAATAATGGAATAACTTGAAACACCCATACGTGGAATTACAGGCAAACATTACATGGCAAGGTTGTGTAGAACACTTACATCTCGCACATCTTGCCGAAGACATTTTGGCATATCGAAGAGAAGCAATAATATTTGAACGAGTGTACCGTTCACTAAAAGTGTGAGTGTGGATCAAGGGGCAAAGGGGAAAATATTTAGCCCATCTGCATCATACACAACATCATATTTCCACAGTTACTCGTACGTTCATGAAATCACTCCGAAAAAATTGCAGTTTAAGACGATTTGCCTCCTTTGATACATTTTTACTTTCTCCCCTTTACTTCGTAATAACAGAAAATATTGAAGTCGTGCGCCGAAAACGGCGAATTTTCAGCTGAAGAACTCTTCTTGCCGAGCCCTGGTAAAAAAAGTTGACAAATCTTGTTCCAATAGATAGTAAATTACTTTTTTGAACACTGGTGTAGACAGAATCCTTGTTACCCCAAAACCAATTGACACCAATACGTCTGTCGGCCCATCCGTTTGTCAGTGTATCGTCTATGAATGATGCTAGGGCCTAAGCAGTTCAGCCGATTTTCTTTAAAATTGATGTTTATCGACTGATCTATACGAACTCAAGGCTTTGCAAGTTTGAAACGGATATTTTAATTATTGAGGGAATTTTACATGCAGCTTCAACATTTTCAAATTTTCTCAAAAATGATTCCAACTGTTTGAATGAAACTATGTCCTCGGATCGCACAGGTTTAATTTGCGTTGAAATCCGTGATTTTTGGAAAGTTGCAAACGTTCAACCTTTTTTGCAAGTTGCAAACGTTCAACCTGAATTCAATCTGTTCTTCAAAGACAAATCTTGATATAAGGTTATATGCAATTTTTCGAAAATATGTTTTTGTGTAATTTTGCGTGAAATATAAGACTTTTAAAATTTAAAAAAAATCTTCAAATTGACTCCAAATTTTTCTTTAAATTTTCTCCTCGTACGTATCAAGGAACGGTAAAAAAATTGGAACTACTCTTATTTCCGGGCAACTCAGTATTTTTGAAAGTCGTAGAAGGTAACATTGCAAAAGTTCAAAATTGAAGGTAGAGGGCTTTGCGTTGAATGAAATCTGTTCTAGAATTGAGGTCTTTAAAAAAGGCCACGTACAATGTTTTGAAAAAGTGAGTAGATTTTGCATAAATTGCCCTTGAAATTAATACAGTTTATAAAAAGCTTTTTCTCAAAACCCGAATTTTTACTACAAATTTTTCTACGGATAGAACTACGAACGCTTAAAAGAATAGCGCAGGTCTCAATTTCCGTTGAACTCCCCGAGTTTTCGAAAACTGAAAATTGAGAAAATATGTGAGAAATTATATGTTGTTGAGAACCTCTACTCGTAGTGTACTTTCTCGCCCTTCCTTCGTAAGAAAGAATTTTAAGGGTGGGCTGGCATCGTATGCGATTTTTCGACAGAAAAAGTATTATTTCCGGACCTTGTTAATGAAGCTAGTGGTGCAACAACAGTACATACTATCTCACATTAATTGTCACGGGTCCGCAATATTATATTACGACATGAACCTGCAAAAGTGTTTCCAACCAGCAAATTTTCTTTTTCGCTCCGAGACACGAGTCCATGAAGTTAACTGCCGTACTCATTTGAGGCGATGCTTAAAAATCTAATTCTCTCCCATTATTCCCAATTCAGAGAGTTCAACGAAAACAAGACATACGCCATTATTTTAAGCGTTCCTACAATTTTTGAATTAAAAAACTATATTAATTTCAGGCAGATATTACGCAAAAACTACTTATTTTTTCAAAACATCGTACATGACCTTTTATAAAGATCTTTTTTTTTAGATCAGATTAACAAAACAATCTCTGCAAAATTTATCTTCAATTTTGTAGTCTTGAAATTTTAACGTTCAGCAATTTTCAAAAATGTGGAGTTCTCTGAAAAAAGCCCAGCATTTGTTTCGTGTTCATTGATTCTTACGAGGAAAAATTTTAAAGATAATCTGGGTAGCCGTTTTTAAGAAAAAATGGCAATGTTAATGGAGAATTACTCTCAAACGCACAGCGCTCCATGCCCCCGGTCTTGGACACGCGTTGGGCTAATTCTGATGCAACAAATTTAAAAAAGAAAAGTAGAATATTCTCTCTCTTCAATATTGTAGTATGCTGAAAAAAAGCTTAATAAAAAAATTTGGAAATCTTCATTTAAAGTACTCCCAAAAATCAAAATATCCTTTTGAACTGGCAAATAGATCGCGGAGTATTCTGAAGAAAATTGTCTGCACGGATTAAGTGCAAGAGTTGACTACTGACAGACGGTCAGGCGTTTTGTCGTCAATCAATTTTTCAGTATCAAGGCCGTTGCACACTGGTTTGCCGTCCTGGTGCTAGTACATTTTCCCGCTTTAAAACGAATACTTCAATTACATACTTTTAACAGTAGACAAGTTTTGTTTTTTAAAATAATATTTACTGAAGTGGTATTATAGATTTATTGAAAAATAATGTGCAATATAAAATAAGACACTTTTCGAATTTGCAAACTTGCAAAAATTTTTAATGATATTCTCTAAATAAATGTTGCTGCACATTTTACATTCAATTGATATCATTGCCAGATCTATTAATATTTCTTGTGTCATGGTTGATCATAGGAGATTTTTAGACTAATATTTTTTTAAATTTTGAACATGATATTTCTCCAGTGGCTACTGTAACTGGCAAATTTAATAAAATTCGTAATATCACGGTAAAGTTAGGGCCGGGTTAGTTTATTTTGATACATGAATTCTAATACAGTAATCCCTCGACATCCGTGAATTTGTTATTCGCGAGTTCCGAACATTCGGGATTAGCGAAATGCTACCGGTTTTAAAATTCGCGTCTTCAAATTCGCGAGAGCGTCTTTTGGCCGTACTACATTTTTTTGAAAGCGAGCAACATTTCATTTTCTTTATAAGAGTAATTTGGGAGACAAACTAGGTAGACACTGTAGCTCAAAGTACCACGTTCTGCAAGAAGTTAGAATGTCAATTCACGTTAATAGAATAACAAAATTGTAAAATAATTCATTTCAGTTGCGTCCAATTGAAGGTAAGAATTATGGCCACATGAACAGAAAAGACATTCAGAATCTATGCCACTCTCTTTATAATGACTTCACTGAAGAGGAGCTTCGGGAAACCATCAGCGAAGAAAACCTCCTGGAACGCATTGATGAAGTAACGGAAGCGAAACTGCGTCCTGGAGCAACTTCAATGTCAAAACTGTTAATGGCGTTCTAAAACTTCAACGAGGTCTAGTGTAAAGAGCATTCGAATATGATACGAACATGGAAATAACTTCGAAATTTAGGAGAGAATGAGAAGTAGAAACTCTTCCATATTTTGATATTACAATAAAGAGGAGAGTGATGAAAAAAAGAAATAAAAAAAGAAGAAGAAAAAATAAGAAAAAAAGGAAAAGGAGAAAAAAGGTCCAATGTCACTTTCAACTTTGAAAAATGTTTCAAATATTGTTTTATTTCATATCTTTGGGAGATTATTTTGAATTCTGTTTGTATTAGCGCTTACTCAATTCTACTACAATTGTTTGTCAGATTTTGTTTTTCTTTCTTTTTTAAACAGTTTTTCGATATCCATTAACCTAACCTACGTTTCTTCATTAAAAGTTAGAATCAACATTCGCGGATTTGACATTCGCGATGCTTTTTGGGAAGCTAACTCTCGCGAATGTTGAGGGATTACTGTACTTCAATTGGTGATGATTTTGATTTGAGAAATTTCGTGATTATATTTAGTTCATCAACAAATTCTATTAATTTTATAACTTTTGGACTACCTGTATAAGTTTCATCGGTTAGTTTAAATTTTACATCCACATTATACAATATACAATACATCCATATTATACATATACATTTTTTTAATATCTCTGATTTACTAATTTCTGTAAGTTTGTTGAAATCATATACAAAATTAAAAGCATCACTTTGCTCTTTAAACAATTGAAGCCTTTCCTCAAGAGGTGAAACTAGTGTCAATAATAGTTATCTATAAGGAAGTTGGGTTCACATGGCATGCATGAATTGTCTTTTGGATCATTTATTCTGTCATCATGGTTATAACCGAACATAATTTCCATTTTTCGCTTGCGTGTAGTTGGGAAATCTGTATCTACATCGCACGCATTAGCTAGCTCAGTTGCAATGCGTTGTATTTCATCAAAATTATTGCGATGTCTGAATGTTCATTTTAAGAAGTCAGAACCGTTTTCAGAACCTCTGAGGCCCCTGGCGGATTCGAAAAATGAGACCCCCATACACATAGATATATTTCATTCAGTGATAAATAAAGATATCTAAATTGTATCTGCATTACTACCAATAAATAAGGGATTTCAGTGCTGAGCCAAGAAAGGTAAATCTTGTGTTTTACTGGAATTGACATATTGTGTATTAATAAGCCTACGCTCTCACGAAGAATGAAGTATTGTTTCCCAAATTTGCGAAAATCTAATAGTCGTACTGTAAAACGGTGTCAAACAAAACGCTATATCTGAAAAATCATTTCACTTATAAAGCTACAACTCCAAAGAAGTTCCTAGGCCAATGCGGAAGCAGTACTGTAACAAACGGTCCACTGATCTTTCTATCTTTCCTTCCTCTTCCTTGTTCTATCCTCACCCCTCACACAATTACCTGCACTCTATTACCACACATGTCAGGAGACTGGTCTGAAGCTTAGAGCTTGTCCTGGCTGGAGCGATGCCCCACTGGTGGGAGATACCTGGTTCAGGGAAATTCCGCTAGATGACGGTAGGTCGGCGCCGGATCTCGCCATCAAGCGGGGAACATCACCGCCACCTCCCGAGGGAAAAACATGCTCTACACTTGCGTTTTTTCAGTCCACGGAAAACATTCAAATAATGCAATTTTAGAAAAAGTGAAAGAGAAGAGATTCCTATTAAAAACCATTTGAAACAGAAAAGCAAAATTCTTTGGACACATTTTTAGGCATAAGGAATTCTTAAATAAAATAGTTGGAAGAAGAAGAGTGTGACCTAAAATAAAAATTTCGGAACAACTTCAAACCCAATTACAATTGCAAAACTATGCAGATATGAAAAGGACAGCGGAGGACAGAATGTCATGGCGTCAGCATGGCACTTTTGGCCTTTAGGGTAATAATAATGACACTTTCTGTAATAATGACTTAGTTGACGCGCTCGGAATCACTAACAACCAACCATCAAAAGAAATTCCTTTGAGATATGTGGGACTCGGCTTACAAAATTGCATCAAATCCTAAGATGTAATGAAACTTTTCTAAAATTTGCTTCAAATGACCACTTTTATACCTTCAGAGCAACTTTCTGACTTCACTTATTAACTCAGAAACGGTACGAGATATCCAAAAGCGTGTAAGGACATTACTCTGTCAAAATTATATTTTCCTCCATCTTTAATGGTGTCTCAAACTCAGCCCTATCAGATTTGGTGTCACCCTGCATTTTAATATACTGTCATAATTAAGAATCAAAAGTGAAAATGAGTCTGAAAGTTTTTGCGTACTCGTGTGCCACTATGGCTGACACTGCTCTAAAGCAGTGAAACATAACTTTGGTAAAACTAGTAGTGCAAACACAGCTTATATTTTCCAGCAATTTTCGAATATTAGCAATCGCCGGCGTTGCTAACAGAATTCCTAAACTATGCGGAGTTACGGAGGTTAAGCGAATTCGAGACTTGATGGGTGACATCTAGGAACCCCGGGATCTGACGGCTCCGAGCCCCTAAAGCACTGATAAAATAAGGGATAAAAAGCACGGACTGATTGGAACGGGACGACAAAAATAATAACTCTACACCAGGCGCTCAACGCCCAACAATGGTTCAGAGAAGCATTGCGTTGACGAAGACGTAAATGTATATAGTTTGCTACTTTTTTTAAAGCGTTTTGAAAAACCGAAGTTAGACTGTTCGTTTTTCTGTCAAGCATGAAGAAAAAATTGCTGAAAAGAAACAGCGTTGAATTAACTTTGTGTTTCGTCACAGTGTACGCGGCAAATTATCTAGATTGTTTTGAGTATTCGGTAACTTGTACTTTTAGCCTAAAATTTATACTGCGAGCTTAAGGAAAATACTCTGTAGCGTAGCGAAATTTGCGTGGTCAGACCGAATAGCATGCCTCGTGGAATAAGACTCGCTTCGTAAAACAAAGCATCAATCCAATTCAATTCAAATGTGCGAGTAAAAATGTTTTGAATCTACGAGACAAATAGAACTCTTAACACCTCTGGAAAATTAGTTCTGGAACGTCCTGAGTAGATACGCGGTAATCCGACTCTCGTAGTAAATATTTCGGAGGGGTCTTTGCAGAGCGAATTCGAAGCAGGCGTAGCGAAAAGAAATGCGGTCAACCCTCTGCTGATGAAAGATACCGTTCATCACGCCATTAGACTTCATACGATGCTCTGTGTTTAATTGTCATGATTTATGTTAATGAATATGTATGTATGCACGCAATGTATGCCTTTGTAAATGGCTGTGTATGTATGAGAGAGGGGAGAGGAAGGGAGAGAAAAGAGAGACCTTGCACACCCTAATGGCATGACCACGAACCTCCACTGATCTCCACATAGTATTTCCTACAATCATTTAATTCTTATGCCATGTAGATAAAACCTATTTGAATAATTAGAAAATACAATGTACCAAAGGAATAAATGAAATGTTCATGGAAAATGTTGAAATATATTGACGTATGTGATTCTTTACCATACGATAGTGAAGTCTAAGTACGAAAATGTAAATTGATTGTTAATTTCATTCTTTTCTTACGTGGAAGCATGAATTTACTGATACTATACCTAATGCTTCGACGACAACCTAATACTCTTCTTTGCTGCTCAAAGAACCGAATGCCCCAGCTTCCACTTTCAATCAATACTCAGCATCAGGTCATCGGAGCAGAAGTCCGAGCCATTTTGTCGGAGATATAGAGACGGTGATTTTGTTGGCGAGAAATTGAGAATGTAGGTACAAAACTCAATTAAAATTCTCAAAATATCGATTTTTTCAAAAATTTCCAAAGAGATGGGTGAAAATAAAAAAGGTTTTTTTTTGGGGGGGGCGGGGATTCGAAGTTTATTGCATAATTTTTAATTGAGCTACGATGTTTCGATAATTATGTTTTACTTTTTAATAGAAGATAAATGGTAAATGAAAACAGAGTAGATTTAAAGAATGAATGGTTATTGATAAATGGATGAATCCTTCTGTTGTAGAACAGAAAGGAAATATGTTACTTTAAGGTAATTCCGGATTCATTGCCCTTGGATAAGAGTAAGCTATAAAGTTAAGATACTAAGATACGAGTATATGTACAAAGTTAAAATCAAATTAAGAAATATGCTTTACGATAATTATTGTAGTAAATTGAAAGAGTAATTTGAATGAAATAGTGGAACTAAAATTTTAAAAAAACGTACATTTTTAAATGTGAATTGTTGTATTGGAATGAAATGCTACAAAATAGTATATTCAGTATGCTTTCCTTGTATCAATAATGTTAAATAATATTGATAGTTGATAATTGTAAAGACTACTTAAGTTTTTAAAATAACTAGCGTGAATAACGAAATATAATTAAATAGTTTAATTTAGAAAGAGCTCATGACACCTTGACTTGTCATACATTTTGTTTCCTTTACAAAATAAACGATGAAACAAGAGAAAGATAAGAAAACAAATTCACGTCTCACTTGAGTCGTTGGTACTCATTTAACTTTCCCGCGTTTGGAACGTGTCACTGCTATATTCAAATGCACACTTATCTCTAGAAAAACGTGCAGAAGGATAACAGCAACACCATTATTTTGCTAAAGCGAAATGAAAATATAAAGTTTGACTATGGGTTAATAATTATTTTAATGTTATGAAAAATTATATCAGAAAAATGTTCAATGATCGCATAGTTGACTACCGTAGTTGCGTTTGACGTCAGCGGAGGATGTGTCCCAGGACTGCTGGCGAGCTCGCGGCCAGCCCAGGACGTCGGTGACCAGCTGGGGAGACGTCAATGGGTGGGTGGTGCGGGTTCAGTCGATGTGTTGCGGGAAGGGTGAACATGACGATTTTCTACAGTAAATTTGAAATTTAAATGTTAGCAACGTTTTGTGTATCTGCCCTGTTTATGAAGAAGTAGACACGTAAACTATGTGTTTCTTGAGGTAAGTTAATCGCAAGGAAACAGTACACAGATAGTGGTGTGGGGGACCACCTACCCGAAGCGATTCGGGGGCGCTATTGATCGAGTCTTCAGGAAATATAGTACTATTATAATAGTTGCAGAGACGTCTCACGAGAATTGAAAATGTGTTCATGTATTACGTATAACTCTCTAAACTTAAAATTACTTTCTATTTTGTCACAATTTTGTGAAAATCTGATTTTGACAGGTGTCGCCAGCAGAAAAAAAAATTAATAATAAGATCTAAACTGTAAAGGAATCAACCGGAAAACAATATTATCATGAGCTTGTCGACATAACAAACTCTGAATTTGCTGCCAGAACAGATTTTGTCAAGTCTTCATCATGAGTTGCCGCCCGTGAGCTATGCTTTAAGAGGGGCGGGTCAAGGGAATGTGTTGCGAATTTTATCGAGATTTGGAGCGTTGGAACTTGAATGTTGTTGCTTGCAACAATGCAACGCAACAATACAACGTCTATTCTTATTATACATTTTCTCCACATTTTGATAGAATGTTCTAATTGAAAAAGAGAGTACTACACCGTCATTTATAGACGTCTACGAATTTTATTCCTTTCTACTACGGGGGGTTTTTACGGTCTCACGAATTGACTTTATCGCCGCCTAATCGCACCCCTTTTTTCTTACACATCCGTTGACGATAAGACTCATCTATAGCGAATTCCGTAGGCTAATTAGTGTTTCTGTGTGATATTCTTTTCCTGTACTTAAATTTTGTTAGTGATTTTTTTGATATTGTAATTTATTTCCTGTATAATGTTATATCATTTTTAAAGTTTAATTAATTTGTTGTTTATAAGTAATTTTTACTCAAAATTAATAAATATTTTAAATTAATGCTTTTAATAATTAAATCAAAGTTGCCTTTATTTACAATAATAATGTAATTTGTTTTTTAGGGAATGGGAAAATTCATTATTTTTTTAGATTACTCCTTCACTAATAGGCTACATTTTTTTATAAAAAAGATGTTATGTTTAGAATTGTGAATTGGATTGCATTAGTTAGTAATATGGAATATTGTGGGTTGTATTGTTCATTTTCGTTTGTTCAGTTCAGAGTTATGGAGTACTTCTCTGACCAGGGAGGTATTGATCTGGGAACAGCTTTTGGTGGGGGTAGCCCAAGAAGGGGTGGGGAAGACTAGGCAGTCAGTAAAGGAGGTCACAGTTTGTGAAGAGAACATTTGAATCCAATACCATAGGTTTGTTTGATACCTACTAATGAATCAATATTTTAAATTAATGTCAAATTATTTTTTCCCATTTTGATAGTACAACCTCTAAAATGATTTTCATGTACTGTGAGATTTTTATGCTATTTTTATACCAAAATTTTATTTTTACAAGTGGTTTTAAACATTTATTAACCTTTTTTGAAAGATTTTGTTTGAAAAGTTGATAATTTTTTCTGATTAAAAAAAAAATTAAGTCTAATTTTCTGGATGAATTCATGTTGATATTTGTACTGTGTCTCTTTTTGGTGTATTTAAATTTTTCAGTCATGATATATATTTATTTAATGCCATTTTAAATCCCTTGAGAAATCTTCATGAAAATTGTAATTATATGTGTATCTTTTTCATTTTTAAACATTCATTTATTGCTGTAATAACATTATTCATTATATTATAATGAATTATAACGAGTAATTGTACTAATTTAATGTTGCTTCAAATTATTTTATTTCTTCTGTCAATCTTTTTCTGATTTTATCTTGTACAATTATATATTGGTCTAAGAGTTGTCCAAATGTCTTGCAGCATGAGCTTGGATTCAACTCTTGGAAATGTACATAATGTTAGGAATTAACACTTGAGATTTTCTTATGTTTATTGGTCTCAAAATAAATCATTGATTATTTTAAGCTTTAGACAGCAGTCCGAATATTACAGATTTCTTTTATTTATTTTTTTACAGATGCTAAGAACAATTGTGATGTAAATGAGGATTCTCATAACTTGAATACCATCACATCGTGTGCATCAACTAAAGGAAGTTCGAGATTCTAAGGAATATGATTGTTAAAATTTCAGATTTGTGCAAATGTTACTTTATTGTTTAATAAAAAGTTGTATATGATAACGAATGATCTCCATGAGCATATAAAGATTTCATTATATCTGATTGCAAACATCCGCAGGATCCATGCATCAGAGTATCATTAAATATGTTGATGAGTCACCAAATATAAAGTATAATTCAATTATATACATAGAAGTTACACTCTGAGCTATGAGTATTATCAGTTATAGTTTTGTGTGATCAAATAGGTCCTGTTGTGCAGATTTGCAACAAAGTTTTAGTCTTGTCTAGAGCTAGTTACATAAAAGAGAGTAGATGTTGAATAAAAGAGAAACATGTGTGATATTCAGAAGAAATTTTTGTGTCCACGACTTGTGGACTATTTGGCTATTGTGGGAGCACGTCCACCATCGGCTCCTGGTTCTACTGGGAAACATGGTGGAGCTGTATCAGGTACACCTCCTGTACAGGCTCCTGAACTACTGCGCCGTTATCCAACAGAAGACCATAAAGACTTTCCATTGCCTTTGGACATGGTTTATTTCTGTCAACCTGAAGGTTGTGTATCAGTGGGTCCAAGAAGAACTGCTCTTCGAGAAGCTACCTCTTTCGTTTTTACTTTGACGGAGAAAGATTCTGGTAAATGAAATTAAATTATTTTGAATACAATTGCTTAGTTGTTCACCATTTTAGTTGTATGCATGGTCATTATAAATGAGATCTTACATGTTATCAGAAAATAATTATTTTTTAAAACAAAGTATTTATAAAGTCTACATCCATTTTTTGTTGACCCTTTTCTTTTAATTTTTTAATTAAAAATTTCTTCATTCTTGTTGTTTTCTATTTATTATTTCACAATCAATTATTTTCAACTTGATTCAAAATGATAATTTATGATGTTGCAATATTGTTGAAAGATATTTTCAATCTTTGTAATTTATGTTTAAAATAAATTATTGCAAACTTTTTTATTTTTATCTGAAATGATATCTGCTGAAGCTAAGTGAGAGTCATAGAATTAGTTTTTATTAAAAAGAAATTGTCTTTGACAATAAATTTTAGCAACTTCAAATAAATATTTTTATAAGGGATCTTTGATGCATAGTCAAATGGGCTTCAGTCACTTTCTGGCCATTTTTAGTTTTGCACACAATGTTGACAAGAAAATCAAGCTTTCATTGGGTTTTAAGACTAATTACTGGGAGCAACATCCCCTTCGCTTTCACACATATGCCTTTATTACCGAATGAAAGACTGTGATTTTGTAGACAGTATTGAATGAAAAACTAAAAATGTCTGAATAGTGATTTTAGCTCTTTTGACAATGCAGCAAAGATGTTAAAGAAGATATGTTAAAATGTGATGATGACAAGTGTTGGAGCTATTTAATGTTTACTATAAACTATTTCTTACTATTGTTTACTATAAACATTTGTATACTTTTTTATTATAAATTTAATTATTAATGACATTTACTCCTTTTTATGGTTGTATTTAATTTTTAAAATGCACCATTTTTTGAGCATTCAGAGAATAAGCGAATTGTTATTGTCTAATCTGAAACTTTATCTCACTCTGAAATGTTATTATTAATTTCACATTTGGAATATTTATGAGAATTAATATGTTGTATTATTTATGAAGACTGTTTGGTATGTGTAATTGCTCTACATTATCACTTTAAAACTGATGAAACTTGAAACTGATTGAAATTGCTCCATCTGTTTGCATACTAAGTATTTATGGTAGTAATTACAAGGGTGACGAATTCCAGAAAAGTGTTCCTAAAAAAACAATTTTTTTTTATCTCTTATTCAAAATGTTTTAGAGCATTTCTTTGGAACCAACTTGTGCTTGCAATCCTTTCTCTAAGCTTTTTAAAATAATTTTTATATGGTGACTGAGGTTAAATAAATGGTAAACTTGGTCTTAATAAAATGAGTCTGTGTCTGCAGATACTTTACTAGAGGTTTAAAAATGCTTATAATTGCACCATTTAACTGGAATGTTCTTTAGTGCCACAAGAGAAAAAGTATCAACCAAAATTTGTGCATGAATCACTAAAGGTGTAATTTTTAAATCATTCCGAAAATGGGAACTTTATTCTTGGTATACTCTCATTGATTTCTTCTAATGTTTTGTTTATGCCACTCTATCATTTAATTACAATGTGTATTGATTAGGCAAAAGTCGATATGGAATCTGCGTTAATTTCTATCGCCCCATTGAGCGAGCACCACCTGGGGGTGGCACGCCCGGCGCAACACGCAGAGATCGTCACTCCTCCACATTTCGCAGGGAATCTTGGAGAAAAAGTATGGAGAAGAGTTCTGATTCTGCATTTTCGAGGTAAGTAATTTTGGTTAAGAAGTTCAAATTTTCATAATATTACAATATATCATAATTGATATGGTATATTCATTTTTATTTTAAAGTACACACACACAGAGATTCAGCAACAATATTAACATGCCACAAACTATGACTTTGTTTTGATTTTACTTTTAGTAATTTCAGGCAGCTCATACTCATAAAGAAAAACCCACGCCTTACAAACAGAATAGGATATTTTTGAATTAAAAAATTAAAATTATTATACTTGGTGGAGGAGTGAATAGAAACATACCATTTTGACTGTACATGTCTCTTTACACTAAAACAATCATACACATACAACAATTTTTGGTGGCAGTGATTACCGGAGCAGTAACGTGGCTCCTAGTGACTCTGACCGGGATTGTCCCAGCAGGCGGGACTCGGACACCTCCCATGGTCATCTACACCAGCCTCCCACTCCAAGATTGGGTGTTGTAGCACCAGGCAATGATTCGGAGAGTGGTGGCTCCCATTCTCCATCTCCTCGTGCCAGCCGACGGCGTCAGGTAAGTGTCCTTGAACAGGTGCTGTATTGAAGATTTTATTTTGTCCAAATTCATTTTGTATGAAATATTTTGTAATATTATTGATACACAATTTATTATCCCTTATGTCCTGGTAGAACTTGGTTTATGAAGAAAAGTGTAACTACATTTTCTGCCTTTAATGTATCTTTTTAAATGTTGGGTGTTTTTCTCAGTGTTTCTTTAATAATTTTGGTGTCAGTGTGGCATTTACAGTTGTTGAATTAGTGCAGCTTCCTTTGTGCATGGACGTTCACTTTGTGTTTTCTGTTGTATGTGTGTAAATCTACAACAAAGTTGTTTGTTGGGACTGATGGTGTATTACTGTTCCACTCTTTCACTTTCATTTCTGTAACTGCAATTGTATTTATTGAGTACTTAGTCATATTTTGTAAGAAACCTTGTGTCATGAATACTTTAGGAAGTATGTATCATGACGTAATATACTTTATGAAATTAAAATATAAAACATTTAAAGTCTTGATCTGGTACTTGGAAGTGACATACCTGTATTTAATCTTTGAAATTTGTTATTTATTTGTTTAGAGGATACGAAATCACTCATTGACATCATTGTGTCTGCTGTCTCATCATCCATTTTTTTCAATGTTTCGTGAGTGTCTATTTATTTTAAAGAAGTTAATTGATGCTTGCAATGAAAATACTTCTCCTCGCCGTGTAGGAGCATCTCGTCAAATTTCAAGGTAAGAAAAAATAGTTTTATTTTCACAATTTCATAACATAAATAATATTTCCCATTCTTACACTACTTCTTACATGATACTTTCAGAGATACTGTGTGGAGTGTTCTGACCGGCAGGGCATATGAAGGAACTCCATCCATTGTTTTACATGATGTTCGTGAAATAGAAATGTGGATTTTGAGGCTGTTGAGTGCTCCAGTCCCTGTTCCCGGGAAAACTAGAGTTGAGGTGATTGCATTATCGACCATTCATTTTCTGAATACTTTTGTTTGGCTATTTTTTATGATAGCGTGTATAGTGTGATTTTAGTGAAAATTCTAGGATAATAACAGGTTACTTATGCCCTACAGGTTGAGATTCTGTCACAAAGTCTTCATCAACCATTGATATTTGCTCTGCCTGATCATACTCGATTTTCATTGGTTGACTTTCCTTTACATCTTCCACTTGAACTTCTTGGAGTGGATATTTGCCTTAAAGTTTTAACTCTCATTCTTCTCGAACACAAGGTAAAGCAGATATAATTTAATTCCAAATCTCTTCTTTCCCTAAAATACACATTCTTTGAGTAACTTTAATTAAAGCTTTTTTGTTTGTCATAGCTTGTTATGCAGTCACGGGATTACAATGCTCTATCCATGTCTGTTATGGCGTTTGTGACAATGATTTATCCACTTGAATATATGTTTCCAGTAATTCCATTGCTTCCAACATGTATGAGTTGTGCAGAGCAGGTGAATATCAAAATTAACCAAATATATTTGCTGAATAAGACTATTTTAATGTATCAAATAATGTATTAATGATTTTTTTCCAGTTATTATTGGCCCCAACACCTTTTGTAATAGGAATTCCTGCTAGTTTTCTCATGTACAAGAAGAATTTTAGGTAAGAATTTGAATACATATTTCTGAGTTTTCTCATAGTTTTAATATTTTATAGACAGTTATTGTATTATATAACATTCCTCCCATGTAATTGGACTTTTTTTTCATAAAAAATGAATGAAGAAAATTGAATGAGCATGATAAAGATTAAATATTCTTACCTTCCTTTCTTTTGGGTTTTGGGCTTTTACTAACTTTTCCCAGAAGGTAATTTTTTTCTTTCTTTTGGATGATAATAACTTTTAACATGAACAGGCTGCCTGATGACATCTGGCTTGTAGACTTGGACTCTAACAAAATAACTCCTCCTTCTGGAAGCCTTGATGACCTTCCACTTCTCCCAGAACCAGAGGGTACTATTCTAAAAAATCACCTAAAACAGGTAACTGTCCTTTGCTAACTTTTCAATAATTTACTTAACTGATTTTAACTGACTAAATCTTGAGCATTTTTGTATAATTCTTATATTCTCATTTTTTATTTAAGTGATATTTTTACTGAAAATTTGGCATATTTTTAGTTTCACCAATACTTAAAAAGTAAAGAATTATGATGTGAATTCAAAGAGAATTTATTTTTATATTTTCGAAAGGTGCTTAAGAATTAACTTTTCCCCTGTTAAGAATTAACTTACTTAGCTAACTGCAATTACTAAGATTGGTCTGCATCATGGCATTTCTTTAAAGCATTGTGAAATGGCCAGTTTCTTTGAAACTAGCACTTCTCTATGAAATAAGAAATGATATTGCTGATGCCCCTTTCCAAAATGCATAGTATAAATGTGTATGAGATAATTTATTGCCATTGTGTCTTTTGTTTTCATTAACCTTTCAGTAGTCATGCCATATTTTAAAACACCAGTAGTTGCAGTGAAAGTCTGCATGTAGCCAAAATTAGTTGAAGACAAAGTAGTTTAGTCTAATGAATCTAGGTATCAAAGGAACCTATATAGAAAAGGCTGGGGATGTTAAAAATACTTCAATAAAATTCAGTTGTGGAAAAATACTTTAGTAAATTACTAAAATGATAGTAGGAGAAGAGATAATTGAGCACGCGGCATAATTTTGGTATTTATGTATGTACTTGGTGCGACAGCCCGTGAACAGGCTCAGGCTTACCGGTGACGTCCCTGTCTCACGGCCATGGGTTAAGGGGGTACGTGTGGTTAGTACATAGACATCCCCATGTCGTATTTCAGACTTCTTAACCTCAGAAGTGAATTTTCTCATCATCACACAGCAACATATACTGGAACATTGCAAGGGAAACACACACTATAATCGTGGCTACACAGCAACATATACTGAAACATTGCAAGGTAAACACACACTATCATCTTGGCTCAACTGGGAATCGAACCTGGGGCTGCGAAGTGGAAAGCAATATATATCTTCCTGTCCTCTATGTGTAGGAAAATCATGTAATTCTTGAAGTCAAAATTATTAAGGGAAAGGGAAAAATCAATTTCTGTGAACTAAGAATCTGCGACTACTGCAGGGTTAAAAAAAATGTTGAAATGAACTAACCCTTTTTTACTACCATGCAGAAAATTAAATAATAACTTTGTATTTTGAAAACAAAAATTTACTCTTGCATTTAATTGATAATAATTTTTTACTGTTTGAATAATTATTTGCTAAAAAGAAACAAATTTGTCTAATTTCTTAACTAATTTCAGTTGTATGATTGGGAATGTATTGTTGGAAAATAACAGTTCTGATTTTTAATAAAAATAATATTACTAATAAATTTGCCATTTCTAATTTATAAATGTGTCTTAGAATCTAAGAATGTTTTTAATTTTTTATTTTATTTTTGTATTTGTTTTCAACAATAATATTATATATTTTTGCAAGTGTAATTGAAACATGCTGTGACATTGGTAATGCATACATGTAAAGATCATTTCCTATTCTTGAGCACCATGTCTATCTTTCTCTTCTCTTTTACCCTTAAGGCTATGCAACTCATGGATCAAGTTGGCGCTGGTGTAAATATCTCTCTCCCTTTCTCATTCACTTTTTGCAACATACAAAGCATATGTAGCTCATTATGCTTGAATAGTATTCCCTTATTAGCTGATTGTGAGACCAGAGTATGATGAGTGAATTTTTGAAAATTTGTTTATTTTGCTAAAATGATGTTGATGTAGATAATCAAGTTCAATTATTTTCTAGCTTCTTATGAAATTGAGTTATTTAATTTTTACAATCAGTAACATTCTGCACTTTCAAATTTTTGTAATGATACCAGCTTTTTGAAATTGTAGAAACTTACATATTTTTGATTTCAGTATAGTAGTATTATATTTTACAATATTATTAGTTGAACTTGATGTTTCAAATCAGACAATGCAATTGCTTGGCCATTGTCAGCTCAATTGGATATGAACATCTGGAATTCTTTATATCATGTATTGTCTCTTTTTTCATATTGTCATCCATTCAAATTTACAAGTTTTCAGATTGCAAATATTTGAGACTTTAAGACATTTTGCATTTTCTCAGTATTGTATTTCTTGTAAAATATTTGTCAGACAGAACTAATTAGTTGAACCCTGTTTTTAAGTGTGGGTTTTAAAGATTCCATAAAATTGTTTGCATTAAAAATCATTGTTACAAATGAGCAAACAGCTTTTCTTGTGAGGCTTTTGAATGACAAGAACAAAATTAATATGTGGATAATAATTTGAAGATATTTGTTTGGTAAGGTCATTAATCCTAATTAATAAACATTAATTACAGAAGAAAAGATGATTTGAGTGATCAGTCCTCCACTCTCATAAAAATAGCAGATACTGATTGAATTTATAAGTATATAAACTGAACAATTTCAACAATATTGAACCCAATTTTGTTACACACTATCAATGCATTACAAATAAGTAGTGAAGAAATTGCCCTCAGTTTGGAGGCAGAGAGATGGAGGCATCCGACCACCAGTCATATCCTGCATGGCTATCATTAGGCAACCAGGAGAAATCTAAATTACTGATAACCTTCACAAGATTAGTTGAACGGATAACATTAAAGGACCATTTGTAAACATAGCTACAACTTTATATCTCAGAAAATAATAAATATAAGAGTAAAAACTAGACAGGAAAGTGGAAGAAAGTATCACTTTTTATGAGATTTTGCAAAAACATCTGAATTCTGTGAAGAGTGGCTACATTATCATACCAGGAGATTTTAATGCAAGAATTGCAAACCAGCTGATAATAAAAATAATAGGGTGTGATGGAGAAGGAATCCTGAATGAAAAGGGTAAAACACTAATCAACTTTGCAACCTGCAATGAATTAAAAATTACAAACAGCATTTTCAAACTCAAAGATATACACAAATATACATGGGCCTCCCGAGGAATAAAATTAATCTTTGATTATATTTTAGTAAATTCCAAATTAACATCTCTTGTAAATGATACATGAGTTTACAGAAGCTTTAACATTCTCAGATCACTTCACGGTAGTGCACATAAATATTCCTGCCAAATGGATTAAAAAGTATACAAATCATAAAAGCATGAAAAGAAACTTTCTCAAAATTTCAAAGCAAGACAGTATGTAGAAATTAAACCGCAAATGTTTATTGGATTATTTGGATCGTAGAGCATTCAGCATTACGTAAATGAAGAATGAAAATACTTAAAAAAAAAGTGTGAACAAAAACTGCTAATGAACTACTAAGTAAAAGATTCAGGACAATAAAAAAGTTAAAAATTTGGAATGATGAAATAAAAACATTAATCAAAGAAAAGAAGAAATATGATTTACCATACAGTCACAATTTGACCTTGACAAAATAGCTTACAAGCAATAATGTGCAAAGTGCTTGTGTAAAAGGGAAAGTGAGAAAATTAAATAGGGAAAGTTGGGGCAGATATATTAATGGAATAGAACTAAATATGCATGGTGTCCAAAATTGAGCATATACATTTTTTAAATATTTAAATGCTGAAGAAATAGACACTGCTCAAAAATTGGATTCGGAGAGCTGGAGGAAGTAATCCACACTTTTAACCCTTCTCGGTGCAAGGTACTTGTGTAACATGATGTAGGCTTCCGCGGCCAGAGTCATGATCTGGGCTGTCCGGGTGACGCCGCGTCGATGGCTGAGGTGCCGACGTTTCGACCGACATCGCGGTCCTCTTCAGGGCTCTACTGCACCAGAATGATGGGCGCTCTGGTTTATATAGAGGTGGGCGAGGTGACGGCCAACCGAGCGCGACTGGGTGGAGGGTGAAAGGAGGCGGGGGACGGACGGACGGACGGACGGACGGGAGCGGTCCATGCTTGGACGGCGTGGTGCGGTCGGGAAGCTCATGGATCGGACGGCGTGGTACGGTCCGGACGGGCGGCCTCCCGCGACCGCGCACTTCGCAATGGTGCAAGCCACGCATCGTGCAGACGTAATCCCGTGTCCCCGTTGATGTTCTGGGGATGTTTTGCAATTTCTAATGCTTCCTTTATTCGTCTTGGCCACCACCTATCTTCTCTGGCGAGCACCTTGGTCTTATCGAAGAGGAAATCATGGTCGGTTTCCCATGCGTGTAGAGCTACAGCGGAGCGATGTACCTTCTTTAAATTTAAAGTCCCTAATGTGCTCGCGTAGTCTCTCCTCTATGGTTCTTCCTGTCTCCCCTATGTAAGCGTGACGGCAGCTGCATGGGATGGAATATACTCCGGCGGCTTGGAGCGCATCAATGCTTGGCTGAGCTTCTGGTGTGCCTTGAAAACTGTCTTGATCTGGAAACGTCTCAGGAGTTTGCCTATTCAGTCCGTGACGCATTGTATATAAGGTAGTGTGGCAATTCGCCTGTTTTCGGTCTCGTGGGGATCCCTCGGTGATGGGGAGTCGTGAGTAAGTTTCAGAACCCTGTTGATAGTGGATTTGCTGTACCCATTCGCGGCGAAGGTCGTTTCTAGAACTTTACGTTCAGCGGGGAGACTGTCTTGGTCGCAGATTCTTGTTGCGCGGATGGCCAGTGTTTTCAGGATGCCATTCTTCGTCGTTGGGTGGTAGTGCGAATCGGCGTGAAGATAGCGGTTCGTGTGGGTGGGTTTTCTGTAAATTGCGTGTCCTAGGGTGCCGTCATTTCTCCTACTAACCATGACGTCGAGGAAAGGTAGCTGGCCGTTTTTCTATGTCTCCATGGTGAATTTTATTTTGGGGTGAGCACTGTTTATGTGGTTCAAGAATTCCTGTAGAGAATCTCGTCCGTGGGGCCATATCACGAAGGTGTCGTCGACGTATCTTACCCACATTGTAGGTTTGAGGCGAGCGTTGTCTAGAACCTCGGTTTCAAATGCTTCCATGAAGAGATTGGCGGTAATCGGTGACAAGGGTGAGCCCATAGCCGACCCTCCACCTGGTCGTAAAACTTCCCCCGAAATTGAAAGAAGGTAGACGTCAAGCAAAATTGCGATAGGTCGACCCATTCTGTAGGGAGGCCCCGTGCCTCCAATTTTCTTCTGATACTATCTGCTGCCTCTTCGATCGGGACCATGGTGAAAAGCGACGTAACAACAAAGCTGACAAGGATGTCTGAGCTCTCCTGGCGCCTGTTTTAGCAGCTCAATGAAATGGCAAAAATTCCGGGCATCCGACGCGATGTCATCGGTCAACGGGCGGAGCTTGTCTGCGATATAACGGGCCAGTGGCTGTGTGGGTGAATGTACAGCACTTACAATGGGGCGTAGAGGTACCTCTGCCTTGTGTACTTTGGGCAGACCGTAGAAGCGCGGTGTAGCACCGTTGCCCCGTTTTAACTTAGGTTTTATTTCTGGTTCAATGCTGGATGAATTGTTGACCCTAGCCGCGACTTCTCCCCTAAGTTTCCTGAAGGGGTTCTGTCGGAAATATGTGTAGACCTCGTCCTCGAGCAAAGTTTCCACTTTGTTGTTGTATTCTTCCTGACGCATGATGACATTCGCGTTTTTTTTGTCTGTTGGAAGAATCACTATATCGTTGCGTTGGCGTAAGGTGCGTACGGCAAGCTGCTCTTCCCGGGATAGGTTGCTCCTGGGGGACTTAGCCCGCGTTAGGATACGGGCAGCTTCTCTCCTGATGTGGTCAGCATCGTCGTTAAGTAGAGAGATAATTGCGCACTCAATTCCAGCGATGATGTCAGATGTGGCGATCCGTGTAGGTACGGTGGCATAGGTACATGTCTCTCCGGCAGAACCCCTTACGGAAACTTGGGGGAGAACTCGCGGCTAGGGTCAACAATTCATCCAGCACTGAACCAGAAATAAAACCTTGTACTTGTGTAACATATCTGGACAAGACCACCAGACTGGGCATATCCACCAGACACTGCTCTATTATCAGTGTTTTCCACTATTCTCTTCATGAACTTTTACACACGCATTGTTTTAATTGTTGTAGAATTTCAATATTATGACTGAAAATGAATAATAAATCAAGATAATTCCTTTATTGCAAAAACTTACGAAAAGTGATGGAGTATAATATTTATTTACAAGAACACAATGCACTTTGAGTGAGTTTAAACTTTTCTTCTCTATGAATTCCTGTGCGATTCGTGAGTAAAATGACATTATCCGTGAGTTTTTTGATAAAGTTCAATGAGAGTTCGTACCATTTTGCTACACAAACCTGGAAGCGCCCTTTTCACTGTTCCCCTTCTTGGTATATGAAAAACAATTTAGAGGGTAGTTGTCTCACCACACCATCGTACTATACTTGTTGTCTGGTTTTGTTGGTGCTGTTTGAATGGGCATCTTAAAACGTTTGAGTCCCGTTGTTGCTCTAAACATAGGTGGACCATAAAAACCACATTACTTTAAAACAAAATGAATGTTTCCACTACTGATTGTTGACCAAATTTAGTGAAACATCATATGTAGATGCTCTAATTAATAAGAAACAGTCACAAAAGCACGAACACAGAAATATTTTAGTTTACTTTATATGACACTAAATATAACCCACAGTTTCCAACTGGTTGCCCGGATAAGGGTTA